AATTAAGTTATTATTCTGTGTTCGCTGGTTAAAGTAGCTGATTAAAATTGTTTTTTTAATTCCTATTTGCATCCGGATCAATATTATTTGTTATGTTCATAAAAAACATTTAGTCGACATCAGCGCACTCTAACATTTTTAACATGAATCATTCTGAAAATCCAGACAGTAAATATTTTCCGCCAATGGTAAAACAACATTTAAACATTTACATTTGGCCTATATATAGGCCTACCATTATTCAGTGTATTACAACCTAAGAGTAGTAATTAATGATCAATTGTATTAATCTGACTGTTCTCTTTTGTACTGTATTTTGTAATTTGCTAGCTTAACTTAAGATGGTTTGTCATAACCAAATGTCATTAGTCTTTTTTTATTTACATTTACGTTGTTTTGTTAATTGGTAACCATCATAGCAACCCTAAAAGGCCAATGTTTAAAGGCATGTTTAGGTGACACACTATCGATCTTTTCCCCGAACAAGACCCCGAACCGAGCAGGGAGAAGGGAGGTGAAAATCTGCATATTTTCAATCCGAACATTTCCCCGAACAAGACCAATACCAGACAAGTTCTACCGAGCGCGACAAAGGGAGTTTAGAGAGAGATGGAGAGCGTGTGTGAGTGAGAGCGCAGAGGCAGTAATACTAAAATACCCCCGCCGCAGCAAACCTGCAGACTTAGCGAATTTCCATTTGCCTGATTGGATTTAAACTAAATTGTCTCCTTAAAAATATCACATTTATTCCCTATTTAAACAGAATTAGTTTAATGAGTACTTAGGTTTGCTGCAACAGGGAGGGTAAAAGTTTTTTTTATGTAAAATGTTAAAAGGTGCTGTGGTTTAGTAAGAAATTATTGTATTTTCCAAATTTGATCAAAATATGTTCATAAACAAGCAAACTTCAACAGTTGACTTACTCTCCATAAGAATAACATGGGAATTTTAAAATTACAATTTTTTTGAATTTTCTCCGTAACAATTAGGCGCATAATAACGCTTCAATATACTAAATTATTTGTTTTTTTAAGCTCTACAAAATGGTTTAACAAAAAAATTGAGAAATTTTGTGTTTTTAGGGTCAAAAATGGGAAAAACCTATTTTTACCCCATAAAACCCCCCATAAACCCCCGTTCCCATAGTCCGATCATGCTGGTTCGCGAACTCATTCAAGTTTATCCCGCCTTACACCTTCAAACCAAATTTTATCAAAATCCGACAAAAATTACTCAAGTTATCGTGCGGATGGACACATATATATATATATATATCTCTATATATAGATATATAAAAATTTAAACGAATGGTGTTTTTGGCCTCTGGGGACATCAAAATGAAAAAGTAAATCGGTCCCGGGCTTAGGTCTTACCATGAGACCTACGGTAATAGCTACTTCCCTATAGGGAAATTCGCTAACAGTAATAAAACATGAAATAACATGTTACAGAATAATAATTTTGATTGCCTTTAATATCATTTATGTTTATATTAATTTTGAACTAATTAAAGTATGACATCAATTACTAAATTCAAGTTAAACATCATTGGTATCATTGATTTAACGGTTTCAACTTGTAAAATACATTTTCAACCTTGACCAAACAAACATCAAAATTACAACATAAATGCCCATAATATATAACGGCAAAATATTACCCAACATTTATTTATTTTAGCAATTAAAGAGTTTAAATTCCATATTAAATTAGAACTATCAACGCTAGCGCAGGCGGCCGCTCGGTGCGGCGCTCGCGACGATGTACGGGGCAAAAATATACCGTGACACACTATCGTACATCACTCCGTACATCGGACCGATCTTTTCTTTGATCTTTCGCCAAAAAACCGCCTCCAGAGCGCTCGTCTCCCTGCTCGGCCTGATGTCTGGATCGGTGTATGGACCCGTGACACACTATCGAACATGCTCCCTTCGACCTCCCTTCTCCCTTCTCCCTGCTCGGTTCGGGGTCTTGTTCGGGGAAAAGATCGGTAGTGTGTCACCGTCTTAAAATTTATAGGCTACAGAAATTTTTAAATTGAAATTTGTTTTTGTGCTCACTGCTTGTCAATTTAACCCTGGAAAGTTTGGCTTTAATATGTTCAGCCGTTATTGAGTTATCTGATTACATAGTTTGCATAAACCGATCTCAAAGAGCTTCGCTCAATTATCTCATTTGAATGTCCATGAGATTCTGTGTATTGTGGTACCAATTTATTTGTTTTTACTTTCTCCCCCTATATGCCTACCATAGGATATGGAGAAAGTATTGTTTTCGTCAAAATTTTCGAGTTTGAGTTTTGAGTGGATATATTCGTTTTGGGCCCCCCTAGACCCAAAAAAGTGGTTTTCGAAGTGATGTCTGTGTGTGTGTCTGGATGTGTACTGAGCTAGAGACTACACATGTGGTCCGACTTCGATGAAATTTGGTATGTAGGTTTTAATCCATAGTATCTCCAGGCGTTTTTTTAATTTTTTTGAAGTTTTGATGTTTAATGGGGATTTTCCCATAAATAACCGGAATAATTGAATTTTCTCAAAAATGGCCCGAACGGTTTTGATAAAAATTTAGTATTTTCCCTTTAAATTCTGAACAAAATGGTACAAATCCCATTTCTCTAAAAATTACGGTTCAAAAGTTATGGTAAATTATGTTATTTTCCCATAAAACCCCATAAAATAACAAAAAATAGGATTTTAGAAAAAATTCGGTTTTTATTTAACATAGTAGGCTATGTTGTAGTCCTTACAATTTTGATAGTTTTTTCAATTTTTTAGAAATTTTGATTTTTAATGGGGATTTTCCCATAAAACCCCATAAATGAACGGAAAAATAGGATTTTCTTAAAAACGGCCCAAACGATTTTGATAAAAATGTAGTATGTTATAGTCCTTTATATTCTGAACAAAATGGTACAAATCCCATTTCTGTAAAAATTACGGTTCAAAAGTTATTGTAAATTATGTTATTTTCCCATAAAAACCCCATAAAATAACGGAAAAATCGGATTTTCACAAAAATGGCCCGAACGTTTTTGATAAAAATTTAGTATGTTATAGTCCTTTGCTTAAACAAAACAGTGCGGTATTCTAATACAAATGGCTATAAAATCTAACTAATAATTGCTTATAAACTCACTATCAATTTCTTTTCACGTACACAAAGTACATTTTTTGGGAGGTCGAGTTGGTTACGAAATTTTTAGTTTGTTTGACCTAGTTATAGCAATAAGGATAATGTTACCATTTAAAAGTCCTGAAGTGTTCTTTCAAGATTCAGAGCATAAGCATTCTCGTTTTTATGTGTATACACAGTGTTTGAAAATTACCTTGAATATCTGTCTTAGTATTTCGCACACGATGTTCATTTTTAAGTTCACAAAACCAATCTAGCAATATTCATTATAGGAGTAGTATTTTAACAAAAGTTAAAAAAGGAAAAAGATTTTCCATTGGAAGTGAAATAACCCGAATAAAATGTTTTACCACAGAGTATAAAAATCTACTCACTTATTTAACATTTACGTAAACCAAAAATAAAAATTCTAAACTTCAAATAATTCTTAACATTTTGCCTTAAAATCCCGAAATAAATAATAATTTGTTATTAATATTCAGTCAGCTACATTTTCAGTTGCCGCTAAAAGAAAATAATAACTCCGCATTGGAGGTATTATTCCGTTTGGATGATATCATAGCCGTCTCTAGTTGATATCCCGTGAAAGCATATAACCTCGTCATATTAGCTTTTAAAATTGCATAGTTTGTGCTGAATTCTGTTGTCAATCATCTGAACTTTTTCAAGTTATCAATGAAATTTTGTTTACATCCATACGAAAATTGGGCTATCTGTGATGTCGGTGATGTTTAAAGTTAAATCAAGAAATTGTTGTATTATTTTGTATGATAAAATGTAAAGAAGAAAATGGTTTACGTTATATTTTGTGTTTTCATAGTATGTGTCATTAGTATTATTAATCTTTCTAAGTTGCCTTGAAGAAATCGCGCAAGCAATGAAAATATTCTTATCCCAAAAATCCTTTCGGGCTCTGCCTCAATGGCTCCATAGTTTCCCATGTTAACCTTATAGGTATTCATATTTAAAATTAATTAAAAAATGTTGTCAGCTTTTTCAATTACACAAGTTGGTTCTACGATATTCAATAGCATTAAAGAGACCACCTCTGTATCTGGTAAGATTAGAAAACGTTGACAAACAGTTTACTTGAATAGACTAGCTCCTCCCCCACACACATCACTGCTGTAAGCTCCTCCCCCATTTTTCCCCTGCTCATTAGGACCTTTGGTCAATCTGTATGTTAGAAAAGACCCTCGATCCATTGGCCAATCTGTACGTGCGCGATTTTTAGTCGACCGTATGCGCGGACTGATAACAATCTGTACGTTACAGATTTTCAAACGACAATCGCCTCGCCTACGAATCTGTAGCAACACAGATTTTAAAATCGGCGCAATTCTCGATCGCCTGTGTGCATGATGCACAGATCGGCCGATGAAATAGTCGCCTCAAAATAATCGCTCGTGTGCGCCTAGCCTTAATTTCGTGCTGTGGTATGCTTTCATTTCCAAACGAATCATTCAACTAGTGATTCCCTACTCACTTCTCAACTTTTGGATTTAAAAAGTACCAAATCCTGTTGTTGGTTTAGTTGAGTGTTGACGATTGACTTAACTGTCGACCATTACAAAAATAGGGCCCTTGGTGTGATGTCGACGATCGGCAGGAGGCAGGAGGTCCAATATCGGCGACCTCTTGAATCAGCTGTTTGAGAGTCCAGTCCTCGTTGCAAGGCTAGTTCGTAGATTAACCAATAACGCGAGTGTTGCACCGGTGCGCCCGCGTTGTGAAAGCATTCTATTGTCTGAATTGACTCAGGTTCCACAACGGTAGCGCGTGAATCAGCCGTGTGGTGAATCATTGCGTTCCTAGCCGTAGCCTCGCGCCGGTCCCACAGTCGTACGTAGCCACTAGCCAGAGAAGCAGACAGTAGGCACTGAGGCACTTCTCGTGTCATGTCACCAGCGCAATCTTGACAGTGTGCGGTGCGAGTTTGTGAGTGATAAGTGCAATCGAAGTGCGCAGTGATAGACTTTCGACGCTCACATTGGTTGGGGTTGATTGAAATAGTTGGAATACATTATCCAGTCAGGTACGTGTTTTCGACATTCCACAAACGTAGCCTAAGTTAAAATGTCGTTAATTTTTTAGCTACCATCACGCTTATTGATAGTTAATTGGGGCCATGAAAACGTTTAAAACTCTAAATTTGATCGATTTATTGTAATGTTAACCTTTTCTTTAGTTGAAAAACTTTTTGCTGACATTAATTTAATTTGATTTACAATGTAACGTGCGAAATGAGCCATGAAACCCAGAATTGGACACTAGAAACAGTCTCAGAATGGTATTCAGTTCTGTTTGTATATATATGTGGTTCAAGATTGTTTGAATCTGTTTTACTGGAGTTAATAAAAACGTATAAGATCTTTGTAGTTAAAATATAGCCTACTATTTTACTATCTGTAAATGGGAAAGGTTAGTACAGAATACTGCCCACCGTTTTAATATAGCCAAGACTTCAACGATAGAGAAAGTACAGTATATGAATGGAAAACGCGAGAGGTGGGTAGGAAGGCCAGGTCAGTTCAAGGTATGCGAGCCTAGTATGTATGGGCGTGTGGTGTGTTAGTGACAGGGCCCTTATAAAGGAGAACGGCCTGCGTAAACTACAGAGTACTGCGTCTTGGTTTTACCATCCAGTGGAAACCAGCAATCGGCATGTAGGCCTAAAGATAAATCAATGATTTTATTAATGCCTTATCTAGCAATAAAACGAATAACCAAACCAGTGAGTTTAAATAACTGGTGTTTAATCAATTTTAATAGGCTAATTATTAAATATTGAACTTCAGTTTAGTTCCTAAAATCACTATTCTAATTCTGTACTATCAGTTTTGTCCACCGACCGGGTAAACCGGAAATTATGCTTGAATTTCGTATATTACCGGGAATTTTCAATTTGCCACGACCGCGCATGAAGATGACGTTTCCGTGACCGCGGGAGACGACGATGATGTCCAAACGGCCGTGGGATTTGTTAGTGATTTTGCCGCGATCGCGCATGACGACGATGACGTATCCGTGACCTCGGGAGACGATGATGACGTTTCCGTGACCGCGGGAGCAGACGATGACGTTTCCGTAACCCACGGGAGACGACGATGACGTTTCCGTGGCCGCGGGAGACGACGATGACGTTTCCGTGGCCGCGGGAGCAGACGATGACGTTCCGTGACCGCGGGTGACGACGATGACGTTTTCCTGACCGTGGGTAACGACGATGACGTTTCCGTGACCGCGGGAGACGACGATGGCGTTTCTGTGGCCGCGGGAGCAGACGATGACGTTTCCGTGACCGCGGGAGCAGACGATGACGTTTCCGTGACCGCGGGAGCAGACGATGACGTTTCCGTGGCCGCGGAAGAGGATTACTGTATAATGTTTCCGGAGTTACCTCTGAAACATAAGAATTTTGTCACGACCACGAAAGACAGTGATGATGTTTCTGTTACTGAGTGAGATATTCAGGATTTTTCAGTTATCGCAGAAAACGATGATGGTGTCTCTACGACAGTGTTAGATGATCACAATGTAACCTTGAGTTTGGCTTGACTAAAAATTTAAAAATGGCACAATTCTAGAAAGTTTTTTTTTAAATATTTTGTAATATCTTCACCTTTTACGTGGTATTAATTTAATGTGTTTAGAAGGGTTTAAAATTTAAATTGGCTACGTGAAATTTTTGTAATTTCTGCTTTAATTATTTCTGTAGGTCACTTGAGAAACAACCTATAACTCCAAAATTGCATACTATATGAAAGTACATAAAGACAGGGGTTGGTGTAGTACTGTAATCATTACAGAAAATTTTTTTTACTCATGAATTTTTTCGGGTTGGCCTGGTGGACACCCTATTTTAGTGGGAGGGTTACAGTTTGCAACTCAGTGTTAAAAGGAGCTTTAGTAAATGCGGTCATTGAAATAGGATTTCTTTTTGGTGCGTTATTAATTTCTCGGTAGTGAGCGAGAAATGCATCATAAAACGACTCTTAATGTGGTCTACAATTTTTTTCTGTTTTGATGGTCGATTCTTCGGAATGTATACTTCTCATCTATATTTTGCTACTTCGCCAGACTTGGTAAGGCCTGGGCCACACTTGTATTTTTTGACCAGCGAGATAGTTGTTTTTTCGTTTCCACGAAACGTGGAACAGTTTGACCGTGGCCTCACTCGTGAGATAGGGTTAGGGGCTAACCAACGAGACTGGTATAAGAGCATGCCACACTAGAAATAAAAATCTCCGTGTACGTCATCCGAACCCCCCCCCCCCCACAGGCCACTATCGGTACACAGTAAATCAGTCAGTTTAACAAAACTAGAACGTCCGTGGAATGTTATTAGAGAATACACGTGCAATTCCGTTTGTAAACGTGTTTACAGACGTTTTTACACTAGTGTGGCCTGCTCCTTATACCATAATGTATCGCTCAAACCCACGTGTAACGCCCGTGGAAAAAAATCAGCGAGGTAGGCCTAATAGGCCGGGGCCACTAGGTTTGTATTAAGAAATGAGGATGCAAGACCACTTAATAAATGAGCGAGGCTTTGTGTAGTATGTTGTAATGTGCTTGTGATTGGTGATAGTGACAAGTATCCGGCGCTTGCAGCCCAATAGACGATTGTTTGATACATACTGCTGAATGTCGATGAGACCCGGCGATATTGAGAAGGGTGCGACAGGGGTAGAGGTGGGCCTTAAGACTGATTTACCGAGGTTCTGCCTTTAAGATTAAACTATCTCACCTTCATCGACTCGGGTGCCATCATTACTCGGTTTATCTAACAAGCCCACACAGTGTGTGTTCTCTCATAAATTATGTTCTAGTTATACAATTATTATGTTCTCTTCCTGAGGGTGCGTGTTGTACAATGGTTATAAGTAGTCGGCAGTTGGAGTTTTTTAATGAACTAGTGGCCTCGGTGATCACGTTTTAAGCATTTTTTTAAATTTCCCTATAGGTTGTTATTTCCGAAGGTGGCACGGTAAGACATAGGCCCAGAACCTTTTTACTTCTTCATTTTAATGTATCCAGATGCCAAAAACACTACATTCGTTAAATTTGTTTATTAAGTTGTGTATAAATACAGTTTTTAATTTTGTTAGCAAGTAATTGAATGTTTAGTTGTCATTAGTTTTTTCCAATTCTTATAATTTTGTTACTTATATGATTTGTAAATATATATGTCCGTAAATGATATTGCATGAGCTCGCGAACCAGCATGATCGAACCATGGGAACAACGGGGTGTTTATGGGTTAAAAGTTGGTTAATAATCTATGTTTGACTCTCAAAACATAAAATTTTCTAATTTCTCTCTAAAATGTTTTAAAACGTTTAAAAGCCAGTAATTAAGTATATTGAAGTCTTTAGTTACACGGTTATTGGTTGCAAAGAAAATTCAAAAAAATATGGTACATTTAAAATTCCAATGCTATTCTTATTGAGTATAAGTAAACTGACGTAGTTTGCTTGTTTATGGATATATTTTAATCAAACTTGGCAAACTTATTTTATAGCCTACGAAGCTATTAATATTTTCCTAAAACACACTTAATTACCCTACCTGTAGCAGCAGACCTAGGCACTGTACTTGTTAAACCTAATGTTATTTAACTATAGATTTAATTGAAAATCCAATCAGGTAATTGGAAATTCGCTTAAGCTGTATGTTTGCTGTGGCTGGGGTATTTTTTACATACTGGAATACCTTAATTTTATTCAAATTATTAATTAATTTTATTAATTTCATTTTATTATGAGATAAATCACACTAATAAATATTGCACTATAGGGCCTACTGTAATTGTCGAATTTTACTAAGAAGTCTAGTGTAAAATATTTATATAATGTCACCTTGTCAAAATACGTTATGTATGTTGTTTCTTCCAAGTTTTTATTCATGAAGGGTTTGAAAGAAAAATCAGCAACTTCGGCTGCCCACGGAAGAGGCCGAGGTCAATTAATTTAATCGATCTAGCCTTTTGTGTGTGTTGCTCTTAACTAACCTTCCTAACTGAAAAGTTTGCTGTTAGCGATTTTTAGCGTGCCTTCTAAAATATCCCGTTAATACGTCAGTGGTTATTAATACTAACTTTAATGCTCGTCATTGTTTTAATATTAAATACATTTTAAATGTGTACGTACGACTTAAAACTTGAGCGAGCTTAAAATTCCAGCTTACTGGCTTAGTTACACTGTTAAGAGATTCTAGTTTCTTGTTCGTATTTCTAATATTTTTTATAAGAATGCTTTATTAAAATTTCTAAAATCTAAGTTTAGTTTTAGCAATATTGTGTCTTATTATCATTAGTGAAGACATTGGAGCACAAGTTATAAACCGTAACCTAGAATAAACATTTTTGATTTGCAATATTTATTTTATGCTCGCATTGGTTTTTTATACTCCTCCATCTTTGATCAGTCACTGGTCGCACGTTTCGAGTTTAACTAATGAATCATATCGGCTCCTTTTAGACGTTTAAATCACTTCAGACAAATAAATGTAGTATGCAATTACAACGAGAGTCAAGTGATAATCCGAGAATTAGAAGTGAAAAGTAAATCCCCGCCAACCCATTTGTGGCCAACTATTCGTCACTGACCGACAGCACTTCTTATATTTATAAAAAAATTAGGTATTCATGAAAAACTTACTTTATGAAGTGTCGTCGTTAATCTATCGAATCTACTGCTGACTATATCCTATAATCTGAAACAAGCGTGTACGGAGAAACTTTTATTTTCCTCCGAGGATTTTTATTTTTTTGTTCATTATGGGGTATTTGGCAACGAGAAATCGATTGGATTTGGTTACAAGGCTGGGAAAATCCAGTTTTCGCCCTACAGCCATTTTAAATTGACCATGTTATCGTCAATACCTTTTTGTAGCCGTAGTTAATAAAACAGCTACAGGTTATTTTTATAGCAATCTATGTATTTATAAAGGTGTATCAAAATGTTTTCTATGTATCATCTTCAATTTGTTCACATTGATTTCCGTACAGAATAAATATCTTTAATTTAGCTA